CACTACAGACGAGGAGAATGGTAATGTTAAGTGGATCAATGAAGGTGGCAGCTACATCAAATTCACGGAAGTGAACTCAAACTTAATCGATGTGCGCTACGACCGCTGGGCCAGTTGCCAAGATGAGCTCCACGCGCAGCATCTTTTCGTCCGTTGGGCTGAGTTTGCGAACGAGTGGGCGCAGAGGATGGTTCCTTCGAACTTGCTCAGATCTGAAAACGAAAACTAAATTAGTGGCTTCATCTATACTCGTTCATCCTGCGAGCTATCTACTATTTGTTGTAATCAGGTTATTTAAGCCGAAATGGTGAACCAGGCTAGGCACCCCAAAGGATTCGTGTAGATTTCTCCGTACTGCTGCGTGTGTTCTCATTATTTGAAGAAGGGAAATGCAGCAGATGTATCTATTACTTTGCTGTATATGGTAGGGACAATATTTTTCAAAACCAATTTCTGATACGATGCTGCTACTATATTCGAAACAGGCAATAATCGACCCAGAGACATGAAGCAGATATGTGAATAACATTTATCACGACAGATAGGGGACGAAGTAAAACTACTGTATTGCGTAGGTATTCACTGCAACTTGCTTTAAAGCAGATAGAACCGTTAGCCTCAGTTCCGAGTTCACAGGGGAATTAGCAGCTCTGCCAATTGCTAAAGCGATAAATCTCACCGCTTCGTTCTCCTTTGTGTTTACTGACACGATTAATCTTGGTCAAGTGCAGCCATTCGACCCATCCTGAGCCGGTCGCGATGAGCCAAAAGACAGCGACCAGTTTTAGGCCCCAACTACACACTAAACCGTGTTGCATGTCGCTCCCAACCGTGAATGCTACTGGCACGGTCACAGGAAGGCTTGGCTAAAACAAAGGCACGAGCGACAGCTCCGAAGCATCTGCAGGACTTTACCTAGTGTATATGACCGGTCTACGTGGTAGAAGAAGATATGTGGTCCCGCGATGTTTCCCCAAGACGTTTATCTGATGGTCAACCTCGTACTCGCCACGATAGGGCTAGCTTAGTAATATGGCCTGACATTCCGATAATATAGATGCCCAAGATTCTGGGTGCATCGCAGTCATATCAGCTTCTGAAGCCAAAA